ACCCAGAAGATGAACAGACCTATGGAACAGCTGTCCTGCCCTACATAAGAGGTACTACAGACAAAATTAGTAAGGTACTACACAGACATCACATCAGGACTGCCTTCAAAACGGACAGAAAAATAGCAGCCATCCTTAGCAACCCCAAAGATAAAATTGACCTGGAAAACCAAGGCATATACGAAGTCCCCTGTGCATCATGCCCGGCCACATACATTGGACAGACCAATAGAAGAATAAGCACCCGCCTGGATGAACACAAAAATGCAGTCAAAAAGCTGGAACACACTTCCTCACTAGTCCAACACATGGAAGCTACAGGTCATAGCATCAACTTCAATGGCACCAAAACCCTGGCCACTATGGAAAACCCTAGCCACAGAGTCATCAGAGAAGCCATAGAGATTGAAAAAAGACCAGAAAGCATGAACAGAAGAGATGATTCCACCAGGCTGTCAATCATTTGGAAGCCTGCACTCACAAACAAAAAAATCTCCACACCACAAGCCAGGCAAACACCTGGGCACAAACAGATCCCCCCTGATACCTCCAGCTCAAACACACCCCAACCAGGCACCCAGATGAAACCCAGCTTCCTAACTAATGATAGCCGTCCATTTACCCGAAGCCAAGCTGCACTAAAGGCCTCCAATAAAGTAACACAATGCTGCCAGTCAATCAAGATACAAAAAGAGCCAAAAAACAGACAGAAGATATTAGAGACACCAATCAAGCAGAACACAGCAAACTCCGAGACCAATAAACACAGACCAAGACTCCCAACCAATCAGGATGAAGAAAAAACCATTCTGGCACAGCAATAGGCTGCCCCAAATTTAAATCTGAAACCACTGTAAAAGTCTGACTCACAGACGGATACAATACAGAAGCCTGATGATGGGAGATGAGATTCTGCTGAAACGTTGCTACAACTTTAAAAGAACAACTACAATGACGTGGGAAAATACCCGAACAAAGCCGAAGGCCATACATGTAAGTACCCGCGAAAACTTAAGAAAACACACACACACACACACACACACACACACACACATATATATATATTTGGTTATTCGGGTTTTCTCCCGCGTAAGATTGGAAGTATCTAGGCAACGTTTCGATGAAGTCTCATTCATCATCTTCAGGCTTGTGTCTTCGGCTCTGTGCTTCTCAGAGTGAGAAGCACAGAGCCTCTGAGAAGCACAGAGCCGAAGACACAAGCCTGAAGATGATGAATG